AAAAAAAAAAAAGAAATAAATTTTTTCTGGACAAAATAACTCCGCCATTTTTTCTTTTTCTTTTTTTTAATTTATAAGAAAAAATTATTATTATTATTATTATTATTATTATTATTATTAATGATAATAATCGATAAATCAATTTATTTACAATCGGAAACAGCAAAATTTTTTTAGGAAAACAGGTAAAAAGGGATAAAAACTTTTTGGGAGGGTCCGGAAAATGATAAATGAATGGAAAAATAAAAAAGGTCACAATTCGGACGTGACATTTAACGTAACCGTCGTCGTAGAACACTTTTGAGGTTCAATAAAATTCCTTTGAGACTAAATTTTAATAAAACAAAATATGTACAAACAAAGGAAAAAAGGAAAAGAAAATCTCGTCTCGCGTTTTTTTTTTTTTTTAATCCCCTCCCCTTATAACTTCGTGGAAATATTTAATATCGTAATCATCATCATCGTAGTAAAATATATTTTAAAAAAAAAAAGTAATAATAATAATAATGATGATGATGGTTAGAATGAAAAGAAAGGTTGTCATGGAATCCCATTCGCTCCGTGAAAACTAAAACACAAATGAATTATTTACAGCAGAAGAAAATAACATGATCGGATTTCTTATCAATGCTTCAACACCTTTTGATAATAAAAAAAAAAAAAAAAAAAAACTCGAAAGCCTTTTTTTACGCTTTTAACATTGAAAAATTAATTAAGTAATAATAATAATAATAATTCTATTATTCGATGGGAAACGAAATTAACAATATTGTTGTTGTAGGTGGAAGGGGAGTAAGGGAGGAGGAAGAGGAGAAAGGGGAGGGTTTGAAGGGCGTTAAACCAACCTTAAAAGCTGTCGTGTGAATTTTTTTTTTTACGACGAATAAAGTATTTATTATTATTATTATTAAATAAAAATGAAGGGAAATATAAACAGTAGGAGTGTATGTAGGGGGGGGGGTGAGGTGGAAAAATTTATTTATAAAAAAAACGTTATTGACGTTGATTTTAAAAAAAAGTAAAAATGGCTGTCGAAATAAAAATTGGCTTTATAAGGGATTCAATGTTGTTTTGTTGACGTTTGTTTTAAAAAAAGATTCTTTTGGTTTTTTTTTTTTTTTTTTGATCAGGACCCCAGAGACAAATGTGGAGGAGGAGGAAGGGAGGAAAGGGATGAGGGGCGGCGGTTGTCACCGAGATTCAAATGTCAATTTTTTTACACGTCTCGTTTTTTCTCACTTTTTTTATTTTCCCCCGAGAATAAAAAAATTTCTTTTTTTTTTTTTTTTTCTTGGCTTAATTTTAATGAGAATTTTTTGTTTTTTGTTTTCTTTTCTTTTTTTCTTCCTTTTACTTTTTTTTTTCTTTCTAGAAATTTAAACAAAACAAAACAAAAAACAACAAATTTGACGTCATCGCGCGTACGTCGTAAAATTAAAATGGGGGAAGATTTTTCTTTTTTTTTATAGAAAAAAAACTCGTATTTTGAAAATGGTTTATTAATAGTTTCAAACATATTTATCATTATTATTATTATTATTTAAAGTTTTTTTGGTTGGGGGAGGGAGAAAGAGGAGGAGGAGAGGGCTGAAATTGAAACGGGAAGAAAAAAAATTTTTTTTTAATTCAAAAAATAATAAAAAATCGTTCGGGAATATTTTTGCGCGATTCGCATTTTTTTTTATTTTCGGAGGGAAAATGGGGGGAAATTTAGATTTTTGGAGAAAATTGTTCGAAGCACTATCATAAAAATTATTTTAATGTTTTTTAATTTTGGGGTACGAAAACAATAAAATAAAATTTTATTTCAGGGATAAATTACCAAAAAAAAAAAATTTTTTAATTTTTTTTTTCCCGGGGGGGGGGTTCCCTTTTCCAAATCCTCTCACTTTAATTATTCGATAAGGAATTTGAAAAAAAAATTTAAACACATTTTCATCCAGGTTTTGACAAGATTCCAAAAATAAAATTCCAGAAATGAAAATCCACAAAATTATAATTAAAAAAATTTTATTTTTATTATTTTTCAGCGGCGGTGATGGCGGCGTCGGCATCGGCGGCGGTTCAAAAAAAAATTTTTTTTTTAAGGTGGGGTCTTCTGTACACAGAGTCGCAAACCTTAGAAAAAAAATTTTTTTTTTATATAAAAAAAAAAAAAAATTGGCAAAAAATCGGATCCAATGAGAGAAGCTGTAACCGAGATTCGTTGCCATAGAAATACGAAAACAAGCAACTATTTAAATGAACCTGTACGCTCATTGTTATCATATGCGAACCGTCATCTTTTTATAATATTCGACCCAGGTATTTTACTTAAAAAGAGAAAATTTTTTTTTTTTTTTTCGTAGGTAAAACGTTTTGTTATTATTATTATTATTACATTTTTTTTTTTTTACTGTGAATGTAAATCTCATGTTTGACTTATGACGGAAGAATTATAAATGAAAAATCAATAAAAGCTCAAGTTTTAATAAGAAAAGAAGAGAAAGAAGAAGAAAAAGTAAAAAAAAAAAAAAATTAGGTCATTCCAAGGAATAGAAGATTAAATTTTCGGGATTTTCGCGTTTTACATAATTTTATAACTTCCTCCTTCCTTCCGTCCTTCCTTCCTTCTTTCCTCTCCACTTCCGCTTTCAATTTTTTTTTAAACTCATGTGAAATTGTTTAAAATTTTTTTTTTTTTTTTTTTTTTTACAAAAAAAGCCCTTTTTGTTTTTTAAATTAAAAAAAAAAGATAAATTTCGATGACATCCCTTCGACGACCACGAAGGAGGGTTGATTTTCTTCTTTTTCTTTTTTTTTTTTTAGTCTTTGTCTCTCCCTAAAATTTAGGGGTTGTAAATGAGTCATATCATTTAAGAAACGGTTTTCTGATTTTTTAAAATATTATACAAAAAAACAAAAAAAAAAGTTGTTAAAATGGCACAGATAATCGATTCAGATAAAAAAAGTTTATTTAATAAAAAAAAAAAACAGGGGGACGAGGGGACGGGGGGGACGGGGGGTTAAAGAAAGAAAACTTTAAAGTAAAATATTTACAGGAAACGGAAACGATTTTTTATCAAAATAGGTGACAGATTTAAATTTTTATTATTTGCCGCTTAAACTTTTTTTTTCCTTTCCTCCCCTCTCCCCCGAAAAAAAACGGATTTCGTAATAATAATAATAACGATAATAAATTTCTTTTTTTAAACGTCATTCTTCGTTAAAATTTTTTAAATTAATAAAACCTCACGAAAAATTATTATTATTATTAAAAAAAAAAAAAAAAGAGGAAATGAATGAAAAATTTAGTTTATTATTATTATTTTGCTCTCGTTAAAAGTTTTTTTTTTTTTTTTCGTTCCCTTCGTCTGTAAAATATTTACAATTAAAAAAAAATAAAAATGGCTTCCGCCGGCGTATTTGTTTATAAAAAAATTATAATAAAAAAAAATAAATTAATTATTAATTAATAATAATAGAAAAAAAAAAAATAAACAAAAAAAATAGAAAAAATATGTAAAAGTATATAAAATTATTAAAAAAAAAAAAAAAAATTCGTTTTCAGCACTTTGGCATCATCGATAATAATAATAATAATGGATAATCAAAAAAAAACTGGTGATACTACGAACCCGAAAACAACAATATCAGATTTGGAAAAGAGAAGATTACAATTTGAATTAAAAGCAGCAGAAGAAATTGCCATATTAAAAGAAATAGTTATAAGAAAAAGATTGGCATACGAATTGGCATCGTTAGAAGATGGAAATCCTAGTAACAACGACGGTTTATTTAATAATCCAAGTATTATTATTATTATTATTATTATTACGACGATATTATTTTATATTGATTTATACGTTAATTAATTTTTTTTTACGATTAATTTATTTAATAGGAATGCCACCACAAACGAGAGACATATCAAGTAAAACAAACAATGCGGAAATAATTAAAGATAATGATATTAAAAAATTTTTACCACCTAAAAGTAAGCGTAATAAAAATTTTTTTATGTATGTATGTAAATGTTATCGGTAAGTAATCATGAAATAATATTATTATCATTATTATTAAAAAAATGATTTATCGAATTTTTTTTTACCGTAATAATAATAATAATAATAAAATGATAAAAATGTCGTCGTATGGATTATATATCAAAAAATAAATAAAATGACAATATTTTAATAATAATCGATCACTTTTTTTTTTTATATAAAATTTTTTAATATTTTATTTATGACGGGTAATATTTTTTTAAACTATTTCCGTTTCCGTTTTTATATTTTTTAATATCGTATGTAAAAAAAAAATTAATTTAAATGTATATGCGTCGTCGGTCGGTTGCAAAAAAAAGAAAAAATAATACGGATGATACGGAAAAAAAAAGACGTGGAATAAGAAAAAGAAAAAAAATGCATGAGAAAATGAAATTAAAGTCACGACGTGTATTGACATTTTCAGAATGATATTTCCCATGTGAATAAGTGAAATTAAGAAAGTTGGTTGGTTGGTTGGTTGTTGTTGTTGTATCCATGACTTTTTCACACTTTCTGAATTTTCTTTTTTCATAACGTGGAATAAGAGACAAAAACTAATATATATATACTTCCCTCCCTCCTCCCCTTCCTTACACTTCTACCACGTTTATCGATTTTTTACTTTACTTTACTTTATCTAAAATAAAAAAAAAATTGTAGTGGAAAACTGTGTTTAAATTTTCCTTTTTTTTTTTTTTTGACGATGTCGAATGGGACAATAATTAAAAATTAAGGCTACGTTGTCGTGGTAATAACTTAAATTGCCGTGGAGCAGGTGTTCTTTACGCTTTAACTTTTACTGGCTGTCACTTTATCCTCGTCGGTTTGTTTTTTTTCGGTTTTCCAACAGGAAAAACTCACACCCTAACTTTTTCATTTTTCCCATTATTATTACTCGCTTTTTGTCTTTTAAAACATTACACAGTGGCGATGCCACGCTAAGTGTTTAGAGCTTAATTGATAATTGATAAGAGTGTTTTGTGTTTTTTGCAGGGATGAATTCGTCGCAGTGGAATAATAAAATCGATAATACGTCATCGATAGATAAACCACCCGTTTCGCCGCCTTTGCACAAAAAAAAAGAAGCGGATATGAATGCAATATCGTCAGAAGAAATAATATCTTTTCCAAATTTAAATTTCAAAGGATTTAGTCAAATGAACCCGAAAAATGATACGAAAAGGACGAAAGTGATAAGAGAAACGCCGGAATTGCTAACAAAAATCCGAAATAAAAATTCATTTAATCAAATAACACCGTCAAAACCATTAGTGGACTTACGTTTACATTTTAACAAACCTCAAATGGCTCAAAATTTATCATCTTCGTCGCAAAAAAAACCACCGATTTCGTCATTTCCGGTACAGCAACAATCGGTTGTGCAACAACAACAACAACAGCAACGTCATTCGTTACCAACGGAAGAACCTCACACGCCGCAATATTCGTATTCATCCCCGCAACAAACTCTACAATATTCAATATCGTCATCGCAACAAACCCCTCTTAACTTTTACGGAACGAAACAAAAAAAATCATCTTATTTATTTTCTTCTACTCATCAACAGGCAACAACATATTCGACTTCCGTCGTGCAACAAACGCCGATTCCGCCATATCCGACTGTGACGCAAAGACAACCGTCATCGGAAACTCCACCAACGGTACCGCAATTAAAAACATTATATTATTCCGTACCTCAAATGAAATTTCACAGTTCTAACGATAACAACAAAACAAGAGAAGAACAACCGGAAGGTTTGGAAGGTAAATATCAAAAAAATTTTATCCGAATAAAAAAAGAAAATTCTGAATACGCATCTGAAAAGCTTTTAAAACCGTTTATCGGTTTTAAAGTTTAGTTAGAACAAAAAAAAACCCTCCTCTATTAAAAAAAAAAAAAAAAACTTTTTCCTTTTCGTTAATTATCAGAACGCAGGTGTAAATTTAAATTTTAAAATTTCAAATATTTTAAACACCCTTGTTTTGGGTTGAGAAAGAGCAGTAGACGCTAACAAACAAACAAAAAAAAAAAAACTTTTTTCCAGCTAACGAAACTAACAAAAAAAAAGAAAAAATTTTTAATTTTAACTTTTTTCACTTTCTCCCCTCCTCATCTCTCTTTCCCTCTCTCCCCTCTCCTCCTCTAACTCTCTCTTTTTCTCTCTTTAGGTCTTTCGTTTGGAAAAATAAGAAAAAATTTATTTAAAGTAAAAACTACGAAAATAAGACATGAAAAAATCGAAGTGGCATCAGATGAAAATAACAGTTCGAACGGTTCATCATCTTCGTATCCCATCGTTAGCTTACCTAATGAAAATAAACCGAACCAACTACCGCCTTTATATTATCAAAATAATAATAATAATTATAATTCCAATAATAGTAATAATAATAATAATAATAATAATAATAATAATTACACGTATCCGAATTATAATTCTTATCCTGTTGCAACGGAATCACCTTCAGCAAACGTTTATGCTTACAGCGATAATTATTATTCATACGGTGCGTTGATTTTCCAGTTAACTTATTATTTTTTTATTACGTAATATTTTAGTTACTGGAGAAAATAATAAATTTATCCAGGGTCTTATCAAACAAATAACGAAATAATCAGGTACGTAATTAGATTTGTGTTGAAAACAAAAAAAAATTTTTTTAAGAAAGTCTCGGTCAACGTTAGACTTGGACTTTTTTTTTTTACCGAATCCCCCTTCTCTTCCTCTTCCTCCCTTTTCCTTCCCCTTTTCTCTCCCTTCCCCTCATTCCCATCAGGAAAAAAAAAGAGCTTTATCGATTAAGTAATTTTTTTTTTTTTGGAAAACTCCGACGGAAAAAAAATTAAAAGAAAGAAAAAAAAGAAAAGCCAAAGATTTTTTTTTTTGTTTTATCGCACTAAAAAGATAAAAAGTTAGTAAAAAAATTTAACGGGGAAACTTAAACTTGGTTGGTAAAAAAAAAGGAAAAAAGGAAAAAAGAGGTCCCTCGGGAACATTTTCAGTGGGAAGAATAAAATAAGAAATACGAGAAGACAATAGACCTAAAAAGTAGGCATAAAACTGTCGAATGCACTGTCATATTTGGTCACAAGAAAGTGAGGTTAGACCATAAACAATACACACACACACAACCACATAAAATTCCATCGGGAACAATAATTCATTTATCATCTGACAGATTCATTTTTTCTTTTTTTTTGTGACGATGACATTTTTATCGTAAACTGTTAAGAAAAAATAATAATGATAATAATTTTAACTTAAAAAAGGAAAAAAAAAAAAAAAACGGAAACGGAAGAAGGAAAAGAGAAAAAAAAAATTTTTACCCGATCGGTTAATTACAAACAATTTAATTACAATTAACGAACGTGTTTAAAAAATTTTCCTTTTGCGATTCCTTTTTTTAAAAGGCGAGGGGAAAGAGAGGGGAGGGAGGGGAGGGAAGAGGGAAGGGGAGGAAAAAAACAAATGAAAAAAAAAAGGTGAATAATAAAAAAAAAAAAAAAGTGTGACATCGTTCGTTCGTTCTTTTTTTTTTTTTCTATTTTTCCTGTAAATCCCAATCCCTTTTGTCCCTGGGGATCCTTCTTAATTTGCATGCCAACTGCTTTTTGAACGATCTCGCCAATTGTTCACGAGGGCTGGTAAATTACGTTTTTTTTTTTTTTTTGCTATTTTTCTCTTTTCTTTTTTTTTTTTCATACGTGATTTTCAAGAGATGATAATGTCATCTTGATCTATCGTTCTCCTTCTTCTTCTTCTCCTTCTTTTCCTTCTTCTTCTACGTTTTAAAATATTCCGTAGACATTTTAACAATTTTTAAAGAAATCCAAGTGAAAAAAAAAAAATTTTTCCTTTTCCTTTTTTTTTTTCCTTTTACTTTTTCCTTCTTCCTCTTCGATTTTTCCAGTTTTTCCAGTTTTTTTTTATTAAAATAATTTTTTCTTTTTTGTTAATTTAAGATGGTGGTAGTCAAAAAGGAAAAATATCAAGAGAAATAGTTGAAATAAACGAAGATGGATTAGAAGAAAATAAAGGAACATATAAAAAAATATCTAAAAATGCTAAAGTGCTTTTTACGAAAATGGTTAAAAAAATAAAAAAAAAAAACAAAATGGAGTCTTAAATCACGAATCCCTCTCTCGCTCTCTCTCACTCTCTATCACTCTCTCACACACACCAGACGATGGTTAAAATCACTCATTTATTAGGAAAGAAAGAAAAAAAAAATTAAGGGAAACAACCGAAAAACATATGCCGGAAATGAAAACGGAAGAATCAACGATGACCCTTTGAACCTGCAACAGCAGCACGTGGCTCGAAAAAAAATTTTTTTTTGATTTTTTAACATTTTAATATTGTCACCTTTGCTCCGGAAAATTTTTTGCTCCTAACGTTTTTTTTTTTTTGCTCCCTCTTAATAATTATTTTTTTTTCGGAGCAACGTGTCCGTGTGTGTTTTTATAACTAATAATAAATATTTTATATACTTTTCATTTTTTTTTAGGTTTAATTCATTGTTTTGTACTTTGAATTTAGGTACCGAGAGAAGAAGGGTGGGATCGGGGGTGTTTGAAAATCCTCCCCTTATTCATCCTCCAGTAAAAAAAAAAAAAAAACTTCGGATACGGTTCGTTCATTACAATTAATTGAAGACAGATGCATCGATTGTGATTTTATTGTTTGTTTGTTTCGGGTAGGGGGTTGTGGTTGTGGTTGTCGTACATTAATAAGGGTAGGTAGTAGTGTGAAACCTTAGGTATTGAAATGCTTCATTTCCTTCTGTCAGGTTTTCATCATTGATTTCGTCTAAAAGCCGCGGGAAAACCACCGTTGACGTCACGAAGGTAAAAAAAATTTAAAAAAAAATTAATTGCAAAATAAATTCAACTTTTATTATTATTATTATTATTATTAAAGTCGACTGAGCGTCGTCTGGGTTATATAATAAAATTTGAAAACCGGGAGACCATAAATCCTTTATAAGGGTAAAAACCATATCCAGATATGTAATGTAATTATTGTTTTCACTTTTTTTTGGGTTTTCGTAAATGAATAAAAAAAAAACATTTTATTTCATCATTATTATTTGTTGTTACTAATAATGTAACTCTCTCTCTCTCTCTCTCTCTCTCTCTCTCTCTTGGTTTTTATAAATATTTAAAAAGAATTTAATTAATTATCGGAATAAAATCATGTAAGAAAATTGAGGAAATGACATCACGACGACTGAAAACTAAAAAAAAAAAAAAAAGGAAAATTGTTTTCTCACATGACTTTTCATCTAACTAAATAAGGAAAAAAAAAAACTCTAAAAGCTTTTACTAGCTTTTCTTTAAACCTAATTAAATTTGACAATTCCTGTCACTGTTTTTTCTTGACGTCAATTCTATAAAAAAAAAAAAATAAGGTTTACATCAAATTCGAAAGCTTTAATTCCAGAGCGCTTTTTTCGGGGAAAAAACTAAAAAAAAAAAAGAATCACAAAAAAAATTTTTTTTTTTTTCAACCAATTTATAAAAAGCAGAATGCCAAAAATTTCTTCTCTTTTTCTTCTCCAAAATATTTTTTAAAATGATTAGCTGGAATCTCATCAACAAAATTGCTGGAGTGAGTTTAATTTTCCCCCTTTGAAAAAACGACTGAAAACTAAATAAATTTTTTTTTATTTATTTGTCGTTGTAAAATTCATATTAAAATTAAAAACTTCCCGTCCCCCTCCTCCCAAAAAAAAAAAAAAGATGTGCAAACAAAAATAATAATGTTAAAACACGGGGGGAGAAAGAGTGGGAGAGAGAGAGAGTCAGGGAGAAAAAAATACACACACGCACGCACAAACACACGGGGGTTTATGTGTGTGTGTGTGTGAGAGAGAGAGGTGGAAAGATGCGCCGCTAATGAACCGTACAAGTTCAAAGGTCAAAATTCTACTGGTTAACAAATGTTTAAAAAATTTAAAAAATCTTTTTTTAAATATATAAAGCTTTACAAGAAGAAAAGTCGATTAAAAAGCCGAAAGCTTTGCGTTAGAATTCATAAAAAGATTGAGTCGTTTCATGTTTAACATACGTGTAGTCATTATCATTTATTTGAATGTGAATACGACGCCCCAGTGTCACGGGGTCGAACACGCGCTTTTCTTATCGACATATCTCTCCTTTCTCATTGGTTTAAATTTAACCTTTTAACCCCACCTACGATTCTTTTTTACCTATGTTAAATCTCTTTAAAAAAGCTCTTCCTCTGTAACGATTTCACAATTTCAGGTGTGGTTTTCCCTCCGTTTCCTTTCTTTTTTTCTCATTCGTCCTCTGTAAAATAATAATAATAATAATAATAATAAATTAATTTTTTTTTTAGGTATCGATCGATCGATCGATGGATGGATGGTTCGAAGGTGGGAGTACCACAGAAATGAAAAGAAAAGAAAAAATAATCATTCCAACCATTTAATAATTTAGCCTAACACGTAGTGTTTGTGTTTTCAAGGTCATATTTGATTATGTTTTTAAAAAATTGATTAATGATTTTTTATATGATTGATTAAACTTTTTTTTTTCTTTTTCTTTCTAGTGTTGTTGTTGTTGTTGTTGTTGTTGCTGTGTTTGTCTGTCCGTCCGTCTATCAAATATCTAATTATTTGAAGAAAACTGTCATGTAAAAACGATGCGGCTTCACACTTTTTGTTGTTTTTCTTCCATTTTGTTTTAAGGTATTTAAAATTTTTTTTTTTTTTGTGTGTGTGTGTGAAAAAATCAATAAAAACATAACAAAACAAAACAAGAAACATGTTCATGTTCAATTTGTTCATGTTTGATTGTTGTCATTGTTTTTATCGATGATAATTTTTCGAATTT